TGCTGGGTCTTGCTTCCCCACCCGTGGGTCATACTGGAGCTTTGCCAGTCATGTTCAGGTGGACCCCAATCCAGTCCAACCTTGTATCACAGCTTCACTCTATCATTCCATTCAAAGTGCCCAGTCCCCCAACTTTCATTGAAAACCTCTGATGGGGAAAACAGAACAGGGTCGCTTTCCTCCTTGGCCATGGAGTACCCACACTCCACTGCCAGCTGCCTCTGGGGTCTCCATGGGCACGACAGGGCATGGGGTCATGACTGTAGAGGGGAGAAATACCTCACTGCCCTGATACTGTTGTAACTGGTGACAGCAAACGCACACAGGTCAGCTCTTTCTCTTCCTGGCATCTGGGCATGTTCTGTGGTGACCATGCCCCCCTGGAGTCCCTGACCACTCCGTTCCCTACACCCTTCCACTTCCGGCCCCTCCCGCTGCATCCAGCAGTCTGCTCCACGCAGCGTCTGCTTGGGGCCCCTCTCTCCCTGTCAGGCTGTTCTCACGGCCCCCACTTGGTTCCCAGGTAAGATTTCAGTGCCAATTCTTGGACATAGCAGATGGGAACTGGAACCAAAACCCAGGCATCTCCCCCAAGGTTGGAGGCTTAGCTGTCCTTCGATAGATGCTGTATTCTGGAGTGCCAGGCAAGGGAGCATTTGAAAAAGGTTTTACTCCCCTTTAAAGCCACACTCTGGTGGAGGAAGGTGTGTAGGGTGAGGGGAGGTGACAAGGTGACTCATTTCTTCCAGCCTGGCCCCAGCTGAGGAAGGCTGTGTTTGGTCGGGGAGGTGGCAGGCAGGTGGGAGGGCTCAGGGAGCTGCTGCTTGCTGAACTGTCACTGGATGACAGGCCCTGAGTGTGGGGCTTGCAGAGAGGGGAAGTAATGGGAGGTTAACAGCCAAGATCGCAGCTTGGCCTCTCTGGGTTTTATCCGGGCTGTGCCCTGCAGGTCCCTGGGCAGGTTGGGTAGCCTCTCTGGGTTGCCTTTTCCACATCTGTAAAATGGGAGTCATCATCCTTAGCCCAGTACCCGCCTCGTGGCGAGCCCGATCTTGAGTCCACTGTTCTCCCCCATGTGCGTGATTTCACTTTCTTCTCAGGTCAGCTCTATGTGGTGACGATATCAGGCCCATTTTCACAGAGAAGGAAATGAGCTGAGATGGGCCAGGGTCACGGCAGGTGTGAACCCACAGCGAGTCGGTTAGACCCTTCCCAGACTCTCAAACAGGCCCGAGTGCCCTCTCTGATCTGCAGTCCACACAAGGGGAGCTGCGCCCTAGAGGGTTGGGCTATCAGGGCCCGAAAAGGGGTTAGCCTCCTGTCCCCGCTTCCCCAGTGAGGAAACCAGGTCCTGAGAAGTAAAACAACTTGCTTTAGGCCCTGGTGTCTGTGGTCTCACCCCTGCAGCCACCAAGAGTGTTATGGGCAGGAAAAGGGGGAAGTGGCGGTAGGTACCGAGGCTGCTGCTCCACTGAACCGTGGGGCGCGGAGGGGCCCTGACCAGCTCACAGGCCTCGCCATGGCTCACACCAACACCCACCAGAGAATGAAGCCGGTGGACTGTCCCTGGACAGAACAGGGCACCCAGGCCTTTGCGGCATGGCCTCGAGGTGGAGGCAGGAATATGCTTCCTCCGGGAGCCTCCTCCTGGAGTTCTGGGCTGCAGCCTGGAGCCGATGACCACACACCATGGACGGCAAGGGCTGGGTCCCACATTCGGCTCGATGACCACACACCATGGACGGCAAGGGCTGGGTCCCACATTCGGCTCGATGACCACACACCATGGACGGCAAGGGCTGGGTCCCACATTCGGCTCGAGGGAGCCTCCCAGAGGAAGAGACTGTGCCTGCTCCCCACTTGGCACCCCTAGTCCAGGACAGGTTGTCCTGGGTGCCACATGGCTGGGCCGTGGCCACTGGGTGTTCACTGGTTCTCTAGGGCAGCGATCATCTGACCCAGCCCGGGCACCTGGCTAGCCTCTGAATCCACAGTAACCGAATTATACCCCGAAATACAGCTTTGATTTGAGGTGGAGAGAATTTGAGTAATCATTTTCAAGAGTTCTTTTTTCAAATAATGTTTGGGTGTTCCAAAATAGAATATGGTTCCTGGGCTCCCTAGTAAATGGCTGTTATGGGTATATGGCTTTGGGGACAGGTTGACCTGGATTCAGATCCCAAACTCTGCCCTTCACCCACTGAGTGGCTTTGGGCAGTCTCTTTCCCTGTTTGGGCCTCCTGTCCCCATTGTTCCCTCCCAGGATTGGCGTCGTGGTCAGGAAGACAACGCCTTGCTGCTCCTGGTGCTGTGTGTGGCAGGTGGGCTTGATAAATAGAGATTCCCAACGGCCAGGGCCACAGGCCACACCGGGTGACAGAGGGCAGACAGTGGGAGGGAAGAGGGAGGGAAGAGGAGTGGGGGACAGCTAGGGTAGGCCCCCTGGGGGTGACACTGGTGCTGGGTGGACCCACACGACTGATTAATTTATGGGATGATTGGTTCATTCATTTCCTTAACAGCATCCTGAGCCTGACTCTCCCAGCTCAGAGCACTGAGTCAGACCCATGCTCTTGAGGAGGTGGCGGGGGTGGGGGTGAAGGAGGAGGGCGCAGGTTGGGGGAAGGGGTGCAGGACTGGGAAGCATCGTGAGCTGCCCCTGGAGTGTCAGGCACTTCCTTGGAACAGCCTGGTCCTTGTGACAGTAGCTCACTCGACCACAGCCCCTGCCAGCAGCCTGAAGGTCTGAGCGGGGGACCGGGTGGGATCCTAGAGCCTGCAGCCTCTGGGGACTTGAGCACGGAGGACGCGGCCTGCAGGGCCTCTTACCGCCTCCTGACGCCTTCAGAATGGCCAATGTAGGTTCCATTTGCATCTCTTTCCACTCTGGGGGCCTCTGTAGGGACAGAAGAAGGGTTCCCTTGACGTCAGGGCTGGGGGTGGGCTGGGATCCAGGTGGCCTCTCCCAGAGGTGTCAGGAATGAATGACAGGTCCCCTGAGAGTCTAGATTCTCGTCCTGACTCTGCAGTCTCAGGGAAGCCATTTCCTTCTCAGGCCTCAGTTTCCCCAAGAGTGAGGGGAGCCGCACAAGGTGCTTCCCAGTTCTGGGGGGGGGTCTGTGGCATTCTGACCTGAATGCTGGTGTCCCGCTCAGCATGACTCCCCTGGGCAGAGGCAGGAGGCTGAGGCTCCAGTTTTGCTCTTATTCCCAGCTGCCACGAGCTCTGACCGGAGGGTCTGGAGCCAGGGCAGAGGCTGGGGGTGGGAAGGGGAGGCCTGCTGGCTGCAAGCAGCTGCCACCAAAGCCACGGAAATGGAAGCCTGGGCCAGGCAAGCCCAGTGATGCCAGCTTGGACATGGGAGTGGATGCCTGACCTGAGGCTGGGGGATCTTCCAGGCCAGACACCTGCTTGTTGCTCTGTGGACAGCTGAGCCTGGGCCAAGCCCTCCTCAGGAATTTCTAGGGATGCTTACGGAGAGGGTAGGAGCTTGGGGTCCTACGTGTCCTACAGGCCAGGAGATTCCATCCTTCTGAGTCTGCTGAGGGTGGGCTGGAGTCGAGGGAGGGGGCGGCACCTGTTGAGACAATTTATGCCATTGCTACCCCTCCCTGCTACTTCTGATTCTCCTTAGACCTTGGAGAATACCTTCTCCTTCCAGCGCCTGACTCAAATGCCTCTTCCTGCAAAGAGCTCTCCTAGATCTGGACTCCACCCCTGCTCTCTGCACACCCCTAAGGTGGCATTTAAGGGGAGACACAGGTCAGGGGAAGGAGCACCAGGCTTTGCCTGAGTCGAGTGAAGTGTGCGTGACCCTGGAGTGTTGTGTGTGTGTGACCTTGGAGGGTGGATGTATGGTCAGGGGAGCTGGGGCTTCTTCCCCAGTCCCTGAGGCTTTGGGGGTCTTCAGGGATAGAAAGGAAGACAGACTAGGTGCAGAGTGTCAGGCCTGCCCTGACATGTCAGGTGTAGTTGGTGGCAAAAGCACTGCCTCCCCCAGTGCCCCTCCAGTTCCCCTGGAGTAAGCCTGTGCACAGGGCCTGGGAGAGCTGAGGGAGTTGAGGGGGAGACTGGCTCTGGGACCCCAGGCCTGGGGATGTCCTGGGAGACCTCGTTCCCTCATAGTCCTTAACAACCTCCCTCCCCAACTTCCCACACCGGTGGCTCAGACACAGGCCTGGAATCTACCGCACGGGAGGAAGGAGATTGGGTGGGCAGGGAATGATAGCCAGGGCAAGCCGGGCAAGTGCCAGGAAGCAGAGGGTAGCTGTCCCTGGAGAGTTCTCTGAGGCCCCCACCCCACCTAAGTCCAGAGGTGAATGTAAGGTGTGCTTGTGTGTGCTCTGGCCTTCACGGAAGTCACCCTCCCTGCCCACCTCCCTGGATCTGCGTGAGGGGTTCCGGAGCCCACAGAGAGCCCAGCACAGCGTCTGGCACATGGCTGGTGCCCAAGAAACTGCAATTGCTGTGATGGTCACGGAGACTGTACAGTGCTGGGGTGAGAGGCAGGGTCTCGAGCCAGACGGCCTGGGGTTCAAGGCCAGGCCAGCCACCTTCCAGCTGGGCTACTCTGGATGAGGTCGAATGTCACCCCTCTACACCTCAGTTTCCCCACTTAGCTGAGATAGGGATATTGGGAAGGTGGCACCATGACTGAGTGAATTTCAGGGCTGGCTGTCATCGGGGGACTTATGGGTGGCCCTTCCCATCACTTTCATGCTAATATGTCCCAGCCTTCGAGCTCTGATGCCAGACCAGGCACCCCTGGCCCTGTCAGATGGTTGGGGCTCACTTATGCACCTGTGGCCTCTGCAGATGTGAGGGAACCTCCTGTGTGCCTTCCTGCATGAGGCCAGGTCTGGAATCCCAAAAGCTTGCCCTGAGCAGGGGAGATGGAGGCAGGAGAGAGGCTGTTCCTGAAGGTGGTGGGAGGGCCCCCAGGGCTGTACCCAGTGCCGCCTGGCCGTGGCCCTCATGTGTCCTTCTGTCCTGTGTCACAGTGCAGGGACTTCACAGCCCACACAGGCTACGAGGTGCTGTTGCAGCGGCTGCTGGATGGCAGGAAGATGTGCAAGGACATGGAGGAGCTGCTGAGGCAGAGGTGAGCTGCCAGGCAGGCCACGGGGAACGCAGGGCAGGAGGCAGGTGCCCTCTACTCGGCTCCTCTGGCAGTGGCCAGGGCCCTCAGCCCAGCCCAGCCCAGTCAGAACACCCCTGCTTTAAAAAGTCAGGAGTATGACTCTCCTGTGTTCCCTCAAACCTGGGCCTCCCCCAAGGGGGCAAGTCACTGATGAGTTTCAAATTCGCTGTCTGTGCAGGGCCCAGGCGGAGGAGCGGTACGGGAAGGAGCTGGTGCAGATCGCAAGGAAGGCAGGCGGCCAGACGGAGATCAAGTAAGAGCTCCTGGGCCTGGGGCTCACTCCTCTCCTCTGCTGGCAGTTTCTGGGCCTTGAGGGGAGGTTTAGGGCTTCCTAGCATGGGGTGGGCTGGGCAGAACCAGGGAAGGTTTGGATTGCTCAGGCGGCATTGGAACCCCTCCTTGGTATTCAGAGTAAGGCCAGGTTCTGTGTGGGTAAAAACCTGAGGTCTGAGTGCTGGGAAGGGTCTGGACAGGGGAGGCAGGAGGCCATCCATCCTCTGTCATTTGCAGCGAAGCCTGCACCAACCTGGGTGGCCTCCACTGAAGTCCTGAGGGGCAGGTGACAGGCTTCTCAGGTGGCAGGTGGCAGGCAAGCCCCCTATAGCACTGGCTCAGCCTGGGCTTCAAGGATGGAGATGTAGCCAGGGCCGGGGCCGGGGCTGGGAGGGGACACACCGGATTCCAGTGCCAGCTCCTCACCCTGCAGTTGTCTGACCATGGGCTGCTGCTGACACACGCTGTGCCTCGGTTTCCTCATCAGTGATGGGATAATCACACAGCCTTCCTCAAAGGAGGAAGTGGGCCCAGGGGCTTAGCTGAGGCCTGGCTGTAGGGGAGGCCATCAGGGGAGTGGCTCTGATGAAGCAGGGGGTCTCCAGCCCTGCAGGTCTCTGCGGGCAGACTGCTGGGGCTGGAGGAGAGAGGAGGAGAGGAGGCTGAGGTCAGGACAGAGCCACCGTTAACAGTGGCGTGCAGGGGCTCTGAGAAGGCCCAGACTGCTCCCTGGGTGAGGACAGAGCCAGGCTGAGGGGCAGACAGACTGCCGGCCTCCAAGTTCTTGAAAGGGCTCTGCAGAGTCATCCTGCTGAGGGGCCCTGAGGCCCGACCTGGCAGCTGCTGCGGACCCCCTTCCCCTCCTGACTGCTCCCCGAGAGAGGAACTGAATGTGCCATACTCTGAAGCTCCCCCAAAGACACTGGGCATGCTGGCAGCTCCTGCTTTCAGCCAGGAGCGATGGCAGGAAGGCTTTCACATGGCGTGAGCCGGGGAGATCCACATGCAATGCCGCAAGGTTTCGTGTATGAGGCCAGAAGTGTGTACGCAGCCCTGGGAGGACAAGCGCTCTAAGGATCCCTGGGAGCTCTGGTCTAGGCCCAGCCACTGGGAGCTGTGGTCTGTGGGCAAGTCGCTTAGCCTCTCCAAGTTGGTTTCTCATCTCCCACTCCAGTGAGCTGCTGTGCAGATCAACTCTGAGGGCCTCCCAAGGGAAGTGCTGAGGGCCGGGTGCAGGCTGGGCACAGAGTTTTATTTTATTTTATTTTATTTCCGGCTCTGGGCGGCCCTGAGTGCGCCTTAGTTATGCAAGGCCAGGCGGGGCAGAGTCTGCCCTCACTTATCCCCTGTGTGGTCCTGGATGGTCCTCCCTGTCTGAGTCCAGGGTCTGTACCTGTGGAAGGGGATGGTCATTTGGAGAGGTGTTCTGGGCAGGCCCGAGGCTCAGTCAAAGCAGAAGCAGGAAAGGCAGGACATGGTGAGGAGGCCCGAGGCTCAGTCAAAGCAGCAGCAGGAAAGGCAGGACATGGTGAGGAGTGAATGGGCGTCTGTGGGGAGGTGCCTTCTGCAGGAAGCAGTGCCCAGAGCTCTCAGGCAGGGGAGGGGCAGCTGTGCAGGCCTGGCAGCATGGCTGGGGGAGCCCCTTCCGGCCTCCAGGCCAGCTGGAAGAGTACTTTCCCAGAAAGATAGGGTACCTCATGGGGAGAACTCAGAGACTCAGGAGAGAGGGAGAGGACAGCCCCTGGCAAGGCATGATGGGGACCAGGCTGGGGTGTGTGTGATGCAGACTCAGGGGGTTGTGAGTCACAGGGGATTCACAGCAAGGAAGGAGAAGCTACCCATGGGAAAAATGCAATGGGGGTGGGGAACAGGGTGGGCTGTGGGAAGGCAGAGGTAGGCAACATCTTGCTCCATTTGTATAACTAGGAAGGGGCCAGGTGGAGGCTCTGGGCGGCCCTGAGTGCGCCTTAGTTATGCAAGGCCAGGCGGGGCAGAGTCTGCCCTCACTTATCCCCTGTGTGGTCCTGGATGGTCCTCCCTGTCTGAGTCCAGGGTCTGTACCTGTGGAAGGGGATGGTCATTTGGAGAGGTGTTCTGGGCAGTCACAAGGACAAGCAGAGACTGCCAAGCCACAGGGGTGCCTAATAACAACCCCCAACCCTACAGCCCCCCAAAGCTCCAGCCCTCTAGACATCAGATCAGTTGTAGTCCCCTGCTCAGTCTGGGGCTGAGAGGCCTGACCCAGTAGCCTAGACCATTTCCTTTGGGACCCAGCCCCTCCCTGGCCCAGAACCGCAGGCCCTTGGGAAAGCCACCTAGGCAGCTGGAGGCTGGGAGTCCCTGGAAGGGGAGCCACAGACCAGGGCTGGGAGCACTGTCAGAGCTGGCCTCGTGCTCAGCTGGGGTGAGGAGTACCAGGCCCGAGGCTCAGTCAAAGCAGCAGCAGGAAAGGCAGAAACAAAGCCCCAGGGCCAGCAACCCAGACGCAGAGCTTCCCAGGGCAGACAGGGAAGTGTCGGGAGAAACCTGCAGAGCCTGAGCTCCCTGTCAGGGAAGAGCCGTGCAGTGGACTGGGGAGCCTACTGGGAGGGAGGGAGAGGGAAGGGACTGGTGGAGGAGGGGAGTTGAGCCCAGCCCTGCTCACCTGCTGCACAGGCTGGGTCACTGTACACAGTGGGGCTCCGTAGTGTTGCTGTTGACCCACGTGGCATGAAGTAGTGATGCTGAGACCATGCAGCTGTTCTTCAGTGCAGGCCAAGCATCCGTCCTCCATCCATTTAGTCACCATCTAACTGAGGACCTGCTATACGTCGTGCCCGGGATGCATCAGGAAGATTCATTAATTTAAAATAAAATAAAATGAAGGGCTTTGCCATTCCTTAGCCAGAGTCCAGCACACTGAGAGTGACTTCCTTCTTCTTCCTAGTTCATTGCATCAGGGCCCTCTTATGCCCCACCTCTTCCAGGAAACCTCCCAGACACCCTGCCTTGCCTCACTGTCAGAGTCTTGGCTTAGACCAGGTTACCTCTCCCCATGCCAACCTGAAGGGCTTTTGGTGGGGAAGAATGAGCAGTGGCGGGGACTTTTTCCTCATCTTGGACTCCTGGGGGTATGTATGTTGGCCCTCAGGAAAGGTGGCCTGGCTGTTCACCATGGGGGCTGCTGACCCAACCCTGAGGACATGAAGCCCTGGCTTCCCTGAGGCCCCAGCTGCCCCCCAGGTCTGTGGGATACCCCTTAAAGAATAGGCAGGGACTGGGGGGATGGGAAGGCTGGGGACAGGGTGCAGAATGAGGACAAAAGCCATGTGGTTAAGTGGCCCCATAAATAGCATAGTCAGTACTGAAGGCGGAACTGGCCGGAGTCCCCAGCCCCGCTGCCTGAAGGTGCTGCATTTCTGCACACCCCCTGACCTCAAACCAGCCAGGAGCAACCCTCAGGCCTGAAGCCTCAGGCCACTGAAATTAACAGGAGGTTACATCTTAGGTGATTTTTGACGTGTAGCTCCTTCACATGTTAACTCAGCAAACATCCATGGGGCAGCGGTAATGGAGGATGAACAAGTAAGACCCAGTCCCCAAACTCTAGCGATCCCCAACAGCGCTTTCAGTGCCTTTTAAAGACAATATTAGGCTGGGCGAGATACCTCACACCTGTAATCCCAGCGCTTTGGGAGGCCGACCTGAGGTCAGGAGTTCAAGATCAGCCTGAGCAACATGGTGAAACCCCATCTCTATCAAAAATACAAAAATTAGCTGGGCATGGTGGTGTGAGCCTGTAGTCCCAGCTACTCAGGAGGGTGAAACAGAAGAATCGCTTCAACCCAGGAGGCGGGGGTTGCAGTGAGCCCAGCTGGCTCCACTGGGCTGCAGAGCGAGACTTCGTCTCAAAAACAAACAAGCAGACAAACAGAAGCAGCTAGTATCAGCAAGGGCTTACCAATATTGCTGACATCACGTGTCCAGCCCTGCAGAGGCTGTGCCTGACTCTCCCTTCTAGCCTCTGGGCCTCTGCTCCTGCTGGTTCCCTGTTCCTCCCCTGCCCAGCCCCACCCATCCCTCAAGGCCTGCTTGAAATGCCACCTCCCTGATAAAGCTGTTGCCCCCACCCCCTATTGCTCCTCCTGTCTCAGGTAAGGTACTGGGGGTACCATATGACCCCGAAGCTACGCAGGGCAGTGTTTTGGAAGACAAAGGAAAATTGAGGCAGGCAGGGCTGGGCCAGCTTCCTGTAGCCCCTCTGTGGTTACTGGTGAGCAGGGCAGCCACCAAGGGGTGCAAGTTTGAATCCTCACGTCCCTGCCTCACTCCCACTCGTCACAAACCAAAAACGCTGTGGTTTTCCTGCCAGAGAGATTTTTCTTCATGGTCTCTCTTCCTCTGAACTCAGAGAGAATGACGACTTCGCTGAGGATATTGGTGAGGGCGAGCCAGGCCCTGTTCCTGTCAGGTGTCCCCTGACACTGGCTCACTGTGGGCACAGCCTCAGCACAGGGAATCGAGAGGGCCACTCCTGTCAGCTGCTGGGCAAGCTGCAGTGGGGACAGAGCAGGAAACACACTGGAAATCTAGACCGTGTTTGAGCACAGAATTTCAGACTGAGCTTCCTGAGAGCCCAGTCAAAAAGGGCAATGGGATGAATTACACGTGAAGGCACTGGAGACAGATGGCAGGAGGTAGAGGCCTATGCAGGGAACCTGTCCTCGACATGTGATCGAGACACAGTAGAGGCGCTCAGGGACATCTTGACAGTTTCTCTGAGCAGCGGTGGTGGGGGGGCGGGGGGACAGGAGGGCGGTGGGTGAGGAAGTGGGAATTTCATAGGGCAGAAAACGACTTTACGACTTTACAGGGGCTCCCAGATCCTCTGGAAGATCAGCGCTCAAGGCCGTTCACCTTGGGAGCTCTGGGGCAAAGCTGGGCTCATGCACAGAGCTGAGGCTGCGTCCTTGAAAGTCTGGGCCCAAGAAAGGGAAAAGGAGTGTCCTGGGCCTTGTTGTGTGAGCAGAACTAGGATAGCCTGATGGTTCCAGCAGTGGGGACAGGGGACCTGCGGCAGGAAGGCCTGCAGCCCAGGGGACAGCAGAGGGGGCCTGGAGGGGCCAGAACCTGCCCAGTTGCCCTGCCCCAGGCAGAGGCAGCACCAGCATCTATGCAGCCTCCAAAGCTCAGCCAGGTCATGGGGACAAATGCGAGTTCAAGGTGAGCACAGACTGTCATTGTCAAGACTGTCCTGGGGCGGGGACAGAGGCTGAATGTCCACCTGGCAGTGCTGTGGATTCAGGCAGGCTCCCAGCTTCCAGGTGGGGGGCTGGGTAAAGGGCCAGCAGCACCCAGAACCTTTGATTCCTTACAGCACCCCCAGCCTGAGACAATGGGCCAGGGTGGCCCATAGGCGGCTTTGGGGTTGAGAAAGTCTAGGCTATGAGCCTGGGGACAAGGGGGACGAGAGCCAGGCATTGCCCCTGTCCTCAAGGGCTGGTGGTTCAGCGGGTGCAGACATGGACTGGGTTAGCCCACGGTGACATCAGTGCTCAGAAAGGACAGGAGAGGGTGTCAGGCAAAGACCCTGCAACGGAAATGGTCATGTGCAAAGGCCCTGAGGCAAGATGGAGATGGCACTTGGAAGGAATGGGGGGAGGAGCAGAGAGCAGGGCTGACAGATGGGAGGTGAAGGTGGGGGGCAGGGGCTGCAGGGTAGTGGCAGCAAGCATGGGACAGGCATGAGATTTAGGAGATAAAATAGAAGGTGGTGGCAAGGAAGGGAGAGGACAGAGACGGGGTGAGTCCTGGGTTTCTGGTGTGTACAGCTGGTGGACAGGGGAATCTTTGCTGAGTGGGAAGCCTGGCAGGAGGAGAGCTTTGCGGGACAGGTGCTGAGTCTGGTTTTGGACAGCTGGATTTCAGCTGTGAGACTCCAAAGGTGTGAGACCCCAGAGGTGAGGGCCAGGCAGTAAGTCTGGGGATGCTGTGTCATGAAGGAAGGGGGACCAAGGGTGGCATGCGTGAGGGCTGGGTGGGGGCACAGGGGACCGCACTGCTCCTGGAGGCTTCTGTGAATGGGAGACACTGAGCCGAGGGGTGCACTGACAGGAAGCAGAGGGATTGCAGGTGTCACGGCTGGTGAGGAGTCAGAGTCCTGAGCCCCACAAGGGAAGGTGGGGTCACCACTCAGCCACCCCCTCTCCTTCCTCTCCCTGGGTTCCGCTTCCTTCCGCAGGGCGGCCACGAGTGCAGCGCATTCATCCCTCTTACCCTTGGCTTCTCATCTGTGAAATGGGATAATAAAGGGCTGGCAGAGTTGTGAGGTCTCGTCTCTCAGGCCAGCAGGTCTCACGTCTGGATGGGCATCGCAGCGCTTGGGGCCGGCCCCCACCCCGAAGCCTCAGCCTCAGAAGGACAGGGAGAAGCCTGAGAATCTGTATTTCTAAGAGGCTCCGCGGATGCTGCTGCTGCTGGCCTGTGGACCTCACTTTGGGATCCACGAGTTTAGGGCGAGGGACCTGGCCCCCACAGATCTCCCCCCAGGCCTGGACCCCCAGGGCTCCTGCCAGGTTGCTGCTCCTCCTTGGCCTCCGCTTCCCCAGGTGTCTATCGAGAGGAGAAGCTCCCTGAGAAGCCTGCCTGGTGCGCTGCCCTCGCCACCCAGGGCTGTCTGGTGGGAGTCATGAGGCCATATGGCCGCCAGGGGGCGGGCGAGCTGCTCCACAGAGAAGCTACGGGGAGAGCCAGATAAAATACTGGATGCCCAGGTGAATGTGAATTCAGATAAACAACGAATTCTTTAAAAACAAAAGTAGGTCTGGCAGTGTGATGCCTCCGGCTTTGTTCTTTTTGCTTAGGATTGTCTTGGCTATACAGACAATGGGGAGTGGGAAGGGATAACATGGGAGAAATGCCAGATATAGTAGGCACCTAAAGTAAAATAAATAAATAAAATAAATAAATAAATAATTTTTAAAAAGAAACCATAAAATGTAAATGTACAAAATGTATTTGATCTATATATACAATATATATGATAAATGGCAGTTACAAGAGGAAAAAAAAAGTAGGTTTTAGGCCGGGTGCAGTGGCTCACACCTGTAATCCCAGCACTTTGGGAGACTGAGGCAGGTGGATCACGAGGTCAGGAGATTGAAACCATCCTGGCCAATATGGTGAAACCCCGTCTCTACTAAAAATACAAAAATTAGCTGGATGTGGTGGCGGGCACCTGTAGTCTCAGCTACTAGGGAGGCTGAGGCAGGAGAATTGCTGGTACCCTCGAGGCAGGGGTTGCAGTGAGCTGAGATGGTGCCACTGCACTCCAGCCTGGTGACAGACTGAGACTCCATTTCAAAAAAATTAAAAAATAAAAATACGATTTAAATACGACAAGGGGCATACTAAACTCGAAAAGTTCTCGTTCATCTGAGATTCGCATTGCACTGGTGTCCTGTGTTTTCTGTGCTCATTCCACAGCCCTCCCCCCCTGCCCATCATTTCCTCCCATGCCCTGTGCTGGGCCTTCCCTCCCTCCCTCCCTCCCTGGCAGACAGTGCCCACCTCTCACCTCCGGTGCCCTGCCCTGCTAACCTCTCCCATGGCCATCCAGCCCCTCCAAACATCCCCTGGGCCACCTGCTGAGAGCCCATCTGAACACTGTCCTCTCCCCTGCAGCCTCACCGTGGGGCCATTCAGTACCTGCAGAGGAGAGAGGGCTGTGACTGTGGGTTCAGGGGAAGGAGGAGGGTCCTAAAGACAGTCCCTTCTTCTCTAAGAATGCAGCCAGGAGCACAGATGGTGGGAGCATGGGCATTGGTACCTCCTTCTTCTACCACATGGAGGGAGTTTGATTGTTTAATTTGCAGAGAGCTTTGCCTTCCAGAAATCACAGTTTGGGGCCCCAGTGGATGGTCACCATCTGGCTAAAGGGTCCCTTGGTTCTAGGGTGACCCAGGGTCTTCCCACCAAAATAAAAGTCCCCCTGGGCCAGCCTGGACTTCAGGTTCCCACTGTGCTCTCCTCCTCCTGACCTGGACCTGTCTGTTTTGCAGCTCCCTGAGGGCCTCCTTTGACTCCTTGAAGCAGCGTAAGTACCCTACCCTGGGGCGATGGGATCTTTAGGGACGTTGAGGCTGGTGGAGGGTTTGGAGGAACAGAAAATGAGGTGTTGGGCTGAGGCTGTGCTGGGCCAGAGGGGTGAGTTGTGGCTGGCTGAGGCCCATCAGGTCTGACACTGGGAACCAGTGTCCATGCTCTGCCCCCAGAAATGGAGAATGTGGGCAGCTCACACATCCAGCTGGCCCTGACCCTGCGCGAGGAGCTGCGGAGTCTCGAGGAGTTCCGGGAGAGGCAGAAGGAGCAGAGGAAGAAGGTGAGGCAGGTGCAGGGGGCAGGGGAGCAATTCCCCCATCACCAGCCTTTCACTTGCTCTGTGGGTGGGGGGGCTGACCCTCCCCGCAGAGCCAGTGGAGGGTGGCAGGGGGGTGGTGGTGGGACAGTATCCCAGGCTTTGGGGCTTGAGGGTGATCTGAAGTGGGTGGGGAGGGCAGAGGCCTGGCTGCTGGCACCAAGGCCAGCTCCCAGTCCCAGGGCCCCATGGAGGGTCCTTCTGGTCAAGCTGCCTCACGCCTAGGAAGATCCTACTACTGCAGACTATGGAGAGTCTGTGGCAACTTGAGGGTGTCCAGACAAGGCAGTCTGAGTTGTGGGGAGATCACTGGAAACTGGCTTGAGTCTAAGGAGCAGGGCTGATTGTCCCGGAGAAAGGCGGACTTGCAGCCAGTCACCCTGCAGGACTGCCCAAGGCGGAGCAGTCAGACACGTGCAGCCAGTCACCCTGCAGGACTGCCCAAGGCGGAGCAGTCAGACACGTGCAGCCAGTCACACTGCAGGACTGCCCAAGGCGGAGCAGTCAGACACGTGCAGCCAGTCACCCTGCAGGACTGCCCAAGGCGGAGGAGTCAGACACAGACTGGGATGGGGGAGTTGTGTGGCATTGCTTAGCATCCGAAGCTACTTCTCACCCATACGTAGGGCATGGCTATCCTGAGACAGAGTGGCTGCATGGAAGTGAGGTCCTCATCATGGGAGGTGTGTAAGCAGAGGCTGGCAGATCCTTGTCAGGGAGGCTGCAGGGCTGGGGTTGGGGATGGGCTCTTTGGAGGGCCGGCAGGATGCAGGCTAGCCTGGAGGCTGGGCTTGGGCCTGTGGGGATGGGGGCTTGGCCTCTCAAGGCCTTAGTGATGAGGGTGGTGCCCGGCATAGGGTGGGAGGGCAGCACACAGACCCACTGCTTGCTTAGAGACGAAGGATCATTGTAAAACTGAAAATGGAAAGTCACAGCTGAGCCTGGAAGGGGAAAAAGCTGTACCTGAGGCTGGGGCCTGGCTGGGCCTGGGTGTCCTGGCCCAGCCACTTCCCATCTCTGTGCCTCAGTTTCCCTCTCACGATGGGACACATATGTCTACCTCCCAAGTCCTGGAAGCTCAGCCCAAGCCATGCGCCCCCTCAGTCTCCACGGACAGGGCTGCAGCTCTGGTTAGCGGCTCTGCTGGCAGAAATGGAAAGGGGTTGCCCACACCACCTGCCCATCCATCAGCTGGGCTTTCCGGATTCCAAATATGGGGTTCTGAGCAGACAGTGGGTCCCCAGAAGCGAGCCCAGGCTTGAGATGCTGGAGCAGGCACACTCTGAGCTGGGACCTGCCAGCAGAGCCTGCAGAGAGCTTGCTGTGACGGAGGGACCCCAGCCCAGCTATTTTGGGCCCTCCTGTGGTCAGAGGAGCTGCAGTGGCTGCAAAAGCTCTTTTGGACAGAGCACTCCTTCTCCAGGTGGCCAGGGCCCCACAGGCAGAGCGCTGTGTTGTAGTGTGTAACATGCATGTCTGAGCCTGTGTGTGTATGTGTGTGCTTGCGCTGCAGAGCAAGGACACAGGCTCACAGGAGTGTATGCACGTGCCCATCCTCCCCTGCATAGGGCTGCGAGCATGTGTCCTAGTCCAGCCCTGTGCACTTGGGTGTTTTGGAGTGGGTGTATGTGTGTGTGTGCGCGTGCTCATGCCTCGCTGGTCTCCCAGCTGACACAGAACCCCTCCCCTGAGACCCCAGGCACAAACTGGCTCAGCTTTCCTCCTGCCTCATAACCCAGTCTCTGTCCTGGCTGTGTTTCCTTCTCTATCAGAAGAGGAAGCCCCTGGCACAGGGGCCCAGGGGCCGCTGTGCCTGCATGTGGCCTGTGGTTGCGTGTGGGTGACTGTGAGTAGACTTGTGAGTGGCGTCTGTGGGCGTGCACAGGAAGGCCGGTGAGCATGCGTGTGGGTATCTGGGGATGGGGGCCTGTGTGCCTCCGAGTTCGTGTGGAACTCTGCATGCGTGTGTCAGAGTATGCAGACACGTGTGAGCAGCTGCAGTGCCTGCAGAGGCTGGGTGACGCAGGATGAAGGACCGTGTGCGCATGTGTGTGGGGATGGGGACTCCCCAGCTGTAGACCAAGCTCTGGCCAAAGTCTGCAGCAAGGACCTCATGGCACACCCATGCCTTGGGCTTCTCTATCGCCTTCCGTGGTGAGGGTCGCTGCGAAGCAGCAAGCTCTGGGGGAGGGAGGGCAGCCTGTCACCCCTCTCCAGAGCCAGGAGAGGTGCTGCGCCTCATCCCAGGGACACCCCGTCCTCTTGGCCTAGGGGAGCGTCCTGAGGCCGCGGCCCTCGGCTCAGAACCTCGTGTCCCCTGCAGTATGAGGCCGTCATGGACCGGGTCCAGAAGACCAAGCTGTCCCTCTACAAGAAGGCCATGGAGGTGAGCGCCAGGGCCTGGGGCCACGGCCTTCCCTCGGGGCGCAGCGCAGGGCTCAGGGTGAGATCCTGGGCTGTGGCCCTGGGCGGGGCATTTGGAACAGGCTGGCTTCGGCCTCTGTCCTGCGGCGTGCAGCGGCCTGCGGGGCGCTTGGGCCTGCGCTGGGCGTCATGGCCCGTGGGGATGCGCCCCGGCCCGTCCCTTGGGGAGCTCGTGGCTGAAGGACAGATGAAGCCAGCTGGGGACTCCAGGGTGGAGGAAGGAGGGATCCCTGAGCTGGATCCTGCGAGACACTGGGCAGGAAAGGGGAGGGGCTCTTACGATGGCTCGGCCTTGCCGAGGAGCACCACCCAGGAGGCGGAGCCTGGGGCAGGCCCCGCCCTCCTCGGTCGCGAGGGCCTGGGAGCAGGACTGCCAGAAGCCCCCACACCTTCTCCATCTCCTTCTGGACCCCCAGATCCCTGTCCCTGGTGAGGATGCTCCCACTCCACCCACAGGCCCCGCCAGGGAAAAGGGGAGGCTGGGCTCAGGGAGCTTCACTCCCGGGTACCACAGAGCAGGGCTGCGCAGCCCCCAAGTCACGCCCCTCCGCACCCCCAGTCCAAGAAGACATACGAACAGAAGTGCCGGGACGCGGACGACGCCGAGCAGACCTTCGAGCGCATTAGCGCCAACGGCCACCAGAAGCAGGTGGAGAAGGTGCGCTGGGCAGCCGGGCCTTGTGGGCCGCCCGGGGCTGGGGGCTGTCGGGGAGGAGTGCCGTAGACACCCCAGGCAAGGTCTGCATCTGGGACACGCTAGCTGCTCAGCCCTCTCTGATCCCCAGTCTCCTCTTCTGTGAAACGGGTTTCCAAGACAGAGCCTCAGGGCCTGGGCAGGTAGGTCAGCTGGATCCCCTTTGACACCGTCAGGTGGCACTCAGGGGATCATTCCTCGAAGAAGGCCCACTGAGGCTCATGGGGCGATGAGAGCAGACCCAGCCCTCACACAACCTGGGAGACGGGCTCAGCAGGCCCATGTCACAGAGAGGAAACTGAGGCTCACAGGAAGTGACTTGTCTAAGATCTCAGAGCCAGGAAGCAGCAGAGAAGGGACCCCAACTCAGGGGGTCTAGAACCCATGCTCCTGATGCTGTGGCCCCAGGCCAGAGAGGGGGTGTCAGAGCTTCCAGGGCCCAGGAAACATGTTACCCATTGCACAGACAGGAAGGCTGAGGATCACAGAGGGAAGTGTCCCAAGGGTGAGCTGGGGTCAGTCAGGGGCCAGAGCCCAAGTCCCAGCCAGGGGCCTGAGCAGTGGTCATGTCTCTCCTGTGAGTTGAGGTCTCACTCTCCATGTTCATGGGTCTCCTCCATGGGCCCCTCCTGAGCTGGGCTTCCTGTCTTCACTCCCTTTCCATGCAACCAACCTGTGGTCCTTTGTAGGGGGAGGTTGCTGGTGGATGATGGCATCTGCCCACAGTTGGCTCCTGAGTGTCCCCCCCAGGGTGGCTGGGGAGGGTGTGACAGTCACTTCCAAGCCACTGGGGTGGGCCCTGGCTCCTGGGGCAGGGGCTCAGCACTGCTCCCCCTGTTTCCTCAGAGCCAGAACAAAGCCAAGCAGTGCAGGGACTCAGCTGCCGAGGCAGGTATGTGGGCCCAGACCGCCTCGTCCTACCAGGCGGAGGCTGGGCGGTCCTCCCCACACACACCTCCTTACCCTGGGGACACACACACATTCCACCTGGCTGCACAGTCGCAGGCGCGGCACCCTCAGTCCAGATGCCTGCAATCAAAGTAAACGCTGTGCTCTCCCATTCGCTGGCCATTCTTGGCACTTCATGTGTTCAGTCCTCACAGCTGCCCTCTGAGGTGGCTGCCGTTATGATTCCCTTTCTTAACAGATGAGGAAACAGAGGCACTAAAAGGTCCAGTGCTTGCCCAAGGTTACAGCCAATAAGTGGTGGGGACTGCATTTGGACCCAGGCCTTCGGGCTTCAGAGCCACACACACAGGCACAGCCCCAGAACACAGAGCCACTCATCCCATCCTACATGCACGTGCACGCCCGCTCTCAACTCGGGCACACGCACGTGTGCACACAGACTTCTGTGGGCCTCTGTCCTTCACTTCATGCCCAGATCCTTGTCCCTGCTGGTGCCCCACCCACCAGACCCAGCGCCCACCCTCCTCCCTTCCCCTGGGAAGGCTTCTCCCTTGTGCTCTGCCTCTCCTGGGACCCAGCTACTCTCTTGGCTGGGGACAGGTGACCTCCAGAGATCTGGGCACAAGTTGTGACCCAAGCCTGCAGGACTCCACCCCTCCACCCCTCCTCCAGTGCATAGCTTCTCTCCCTGTGCCTGAGTTTCCCCTCTGGAAAGTGAGGTGGGGCGCCCAGAACTCTGGACTTGCATATATGAGGCTCCACTCCAGCCCTTGGGCAGCTCAGAGCACAGTGGGGGAGCAGTACCAGCAAGGGTGGCCCTGGCAACGTGTTCAGAAGAGGCCCCGCCAGCTGCCAGGGCAGGTCCCACGGGGGAGGTGGCCTCCAGGAGGGGACCCTGCAGGAGCACAGGGTGGAGGAGCTCATGTCTGGGCCCTCCCTGAGGCCGCCTGCACTTGCAGAGCGGGTGTACAGGCAGAGCATTGCGCAGCTGGAAAAGGTGCGGGCTGAGTGGGAGCAGGAGCACCGGAGCACCTGTGAGGTGAGTGGCCCACGTGGAGCCTCACTTTCCCCAGCCGAGAAGTGGGAGACACCCATCCCTGCTTGCGCCACTTCACGGGACCCACAAGAGGCAGTGGGGGGCGGTACTCACTCATTCAGCCTCCTGCTCACAGGCCCTGGGCGGGGCCCTGGCCTGGGTGCTTCCGCCTGGCCTCAGTCCTGGGCCCCTTCATTGCAGGCAGGCAATCTTCCACCCTTTTTGTTGACGCCAGAACTGAAACTCGGACAAAACCCACAGCCTCTCTGGGCACTGCCGATGGCCAGGGCCTGGGGAATAAGGCTCAGGACTCCCGTCCAGCGTTCCTCTCACTACCCCTCTGCTTCAGTGTGGCGTGGCCTCAAGAAAGACTGGGGCAGGGACCCCCACCCCACCCCGGCAGCTCCACCTCCCTTCCTGCAGCCTCAGGGCTGGTCCAGAGTGGGGATAGGGACCCCAGGGCGCCCTCTCCTCTGATTGGGCTTCCAACAGAGGGTGCCAGCCTGGTCAACTCCAGCTGAGCTGTGAGTGGGGCCCAGCCTGGCCTGGCCCTGCCGCTCCTCCTCCCACTGCTCACCTCGCTCCCGCTCCCCCTAGGCCTTCCAGCTGCAAGAGTTTGACCGGCTGACCATTCTCCGCAATGCACTTTGGGTACACAGCAACCAGCTCTCCATGCAGTGTGTCAAGGACGATGAGGTAGGGGCTAAGGGCCTTGGGGTGGGGTGAGGGAGGGCAGCCTCCAGCCAACAACATGCCCAGGTCCATCTGAGCCAGTCAACAAGCACCTGGTCCTCTGTGGTCCAGGTGCGCAGGGTTCTCAGGGCTCAGCAGCTCAGCCTTCGCCTCCAGAACCCCAGGACAGGAGCTCAGTACCACACAGGGCCACGGCATCTCTGCCTCGAAGACGGTGACTCTGTGGTTCCCCTGGCATCTGCCATCTCCTCCTCTGCTCCCTCTGCCAGGGCTGGGAGGGGAGGTGGACGCAGCTCTCAGGGGTTGGCAGAGGCCAGAGGACCCTGGCTGCTCTGCTCTAGGCCTGGTGCTTGCAGGAGGCAGGCACAGTCCTCCCTCTGCTCCCCACATCTCCAGGGTGTGTTGTTTCCCCTTACCGAGCTCGACCTGCTGAGGTGGTCCTCCCCAGCAGACAGCGGCCACCCCCACCAGGGGTCCTGAGCACTGTTGAGGAAGCCCAGAGCCAGCTTTCCCAGGCAGCCCTGGCCCCCGTGCCTGCTGTGTTTCCTGCCTGACGCTCCTGCCCAGGGCTGGGGCGTTGATTTTGCTGTTTTTGCCCCCTGCTCCCTCCTCGCCTCCTCGGGGTGGAAGGTGTGAGCTCAGACCGACTCTGGCCCGAGCCTGGCTGTGCTGCATTTTCGCTCTGTGATCTTGGGCCAGTCACTCTCCTCTGAGTTTCCTCCTCCATCCAATGGAAAAAGGTGTCTACTTCAGAGGACAGGTGTGAGTTACGTCCCTTGCACAGGGCCTTGCGCGCAGGTGTTCAGGAAATGGGGAGCTGTCAGCCAGGGCTGTGACTCCTCAGGATCAAAGACCCCGAGCTGTGCACAAAGGCCTGTGAGGAGGCCGGTGGGGTGGGGGCCGCCGGCCAGAGTTCAGACCCAGAGAGGGGCAGAGCGGGCATCGGGCTGCAGCCTCTGCTCTTTCCCACCCCAGCTCTACGAGGAAGTGCGGCTGACACTAGAAGGCTGCAGCATAGACGCCGACATCGACGGCTTCATCCAGGCCAAGAGCACTGGCACGGAGCCCCCGGGTGAGGCGTCTGCAGACAGCACAGCCTCTGGGCGCACTGAGCCCTGTGGAAGGCCTGGCCCAGAGCCTCTGAGCCTCGTGCCAGGACAGGGCTGGAGTAGCTCACATCTCCCCTCCGGGCAGAGGAGCCCTAGCTAGACCCCAGGGCTTGTGGGGGTTTGGAAACAGTGTAGTCTCAGGCTGGGTCCTGGGCCTGCTGCCTCCTCACAGGCAAAGCTAAGGGCATGATGGCACTCAGAGGAAGAGCTGGGGGTGGGGATTGAGGGGAGGAGCTCCTACGGTCCCACTCCTCGCCTGTTTGGTTCCACTGAATCATGGGTACAGAATATTAGGTCTTGGTGGTCCCTACGGTGGAGTCTCTCATGGGAGTGACACAGGCACCAGGATGGGCCAGGACCAGATTGGGAACGTGGGGCCCCAGTTGGCTCTCTGGCAGGGCCAGAATGGGGTGTTGGGGGCTGCCCCGGTCCTCACAGCTTGCTCTCTGCAGCTCCGGTGCTCTACCAGAACTACTATGACCGGGAGGTCACCCCGCTGACTGGCAGCCCCAGCATCCAGCCGTCCTGTGGCATGATAAAGAGGTGAGGCCCTGGAAGATGGAGGCAGGGCTCGAGGTTGGGCCAGGAAGTAGGCCAAACCCTTCCCCTGCGCCTGGCCCTTCCTGGTTCACTGAGCACCTTCTATGAATCGGTGACTAGTTTGGGTGCTGGGCACTCTCTGGAGACAAGATAGGCTCGGTTCAGCCTATGGAACCCTCAGCCTAAGGGACCCGACATTAAGTGAATAATCACACCCCAGTTATTCACCAGGGCCTGTTTTCCGAGCTCTGGGGAGGCCCCTGTGTTGGCTTCCTTGTCCCTGGGGCCCCCATGAGAGCCTGGGGTCCCCATGAGAGCCTGGTGCCCTGACTGTCAGCCTGCAGGGCAATGCTCTCTGGTTGGGGCAAGACTGGGGCATCTGGAGAATTCTCCAGACTCTTCCAGAGCCCTTTCCCCAGCCTGGCTGCAGTCAGGTGCCGCGGTCCTAGTGCCGGGCCTCAGTGTGTGACCTGGGCAAATCACTCACACTCTCTAGGGCCGGGGTCCTAGGTTTTGGGGTCAGATTCAGAACCTAAGGACCCCTCCTGGCGCAGGTCTTGAGTGAGGATGGTGACAGCCCATTAAGAGCACCAGCCAGCTCAGGGAGCCCTCAGAGCCAGGCCTTTGAGGGGGCCATGTGCCCTGTCTGTGAGCATCCACGAGGGTCGGTGGGTTTCATGTGGTGCCTGTGCCCCCAGTGTCATGCCACCCTCCTCTCTCCAGCCAACCCTCAACCAAGAAGGCCCTGCCTCTGGGAGGCAGCAGACCACAGGGAGGAGCAGATGCAATTCCCGGGCCTTCGCAAGGACCAGCTCATTCCAGGGCCTTAGGAGCCTCTGGAGCCTCCTACTCCTGGGTGGCAGAGGCTCATGGGAACCACCCGTGCTCACAGAGGGGGGTACACACACCCCTTTGAGAATCTTGTGAAAGCAGTCACCCCAGGAGGCAGCACATCCGCAGCCTTGCACCCTACAAAAGCTGGGGTACTCGGGCCTCCCTGCAGCTGGTGAGGACCTGGATCCCAGCAAAGGTGGTCATTCACACAACTGGACAAAGAGCTCACCTGAGGCAGTGTCAGGAAGGGGCAGAAAGGGATGCCCCAGAGAGGATGAGAGAAAGAGACAGGGAGGGAGGGAGAGAGGAACGGGGGGAGAGAGACAGAGAGAGGTGTCCTGCAGGGCAGAGGGAGGCCTGGCTGCTGAAGAGAGCTGGTCAGGCCTCTGGATGGGGCAGTTAGAAACCAGGCAGGGTTGGGGAGAGGCAGGGGTCAGTGGCTGAGAGTTGGAAGTGTAGATAGTCTGGGGAAAAGAGGTGTGGGGCGGGGAGCACAATGGCTCAGGAAGCCCTGCACCCCCAACCCCCACCGCGCTCTCACCCTGTCCTTTGCTGCTGGGTGCTGCCGCATGTGTCTGCACGCCTGTGTGTCAGGCCCTCTCACGTGCTGGGCCATGCATGTCCACCCTGTGCATGTGTGTGCACTCCTAGGCCTCCGCCCTCGGCCCCTCATATGGGAAAGGACCCCACATGCCACCTTGAATTGCAGGGCAGCCTCCCGCAGGCCCCTGAGTCATGGCTCAGCCTCTTACCTGCATTTAGGGTCCCTCAGCATCTGCTTCGGTCCCGATTTCAAGTCTGTCCCCCACGCACCCAAACTGGTCCATCCACTCCACAGCCCCCTGCCTGCCCGCGCCTCCTCCCCTGCACCTGCGCGCTCCCCTCCTGGTCACTGGCAGGGCCTCCTCCCCTGCACCTGCATGCTCCCCTCCTGGTCACCGGCAGTGACCTCTGAAGACTCACCTCTGAAGACTCAGCCGCAGCCCACCAAGAAGCCTTCCCGCCTCAGAGGCAGTGTCAGCCTCTCCTCTGAGCCCTCACTACTGCCCGCTTCAGGGGGTGCCCCCGGCATCGGCCTCTCGCTTCTTCTGTTTTATTTCCTTTATTCAGTAAATCTTCACAACCCCAGCTCAGTCCAGGCCTAAGCCTGGCGCAGGCGCAGGGGTAAAGTTGCCCAGCGCCGTCCAGGAACTCCTGTGCACAGGGTGGCAGAGCTGGCCCGATTCCCGGAGCCGGCGGGGAGGAGGGCTGGCTTGGCCCAGGCAGCGGAGACCCCAGCAGGGCTCGTGTGAGCCAGACTTTGTGCAGCAGTGCACTTCTCACCCCCGTCGGGGAGGCTGATAGGGCCAGCTGGGGCAGGGCCCTGAGGGTGAGGCCTCAGCACAGAGGTCCTAGAATCCCCGAAGGGTGCTCGGGGTCTTCCCTGTAGCTCCAGCAAGAGGCGCTGTAGGGAGCACGTGCAGACATGGCCTGCAGAAGGCGCCAGTGGAGGGCACAGCTGGGGAGGGAGGAGCCACCGGGACCACGTTTTGGGGAACCCTCCTGCCCCAGGAACACCTCATCAATCACATCCATGCCTGGAGGCTGGGGCAGCCCCAGCCGGGGCAGAGCCCACAGCTCTGAGAACTCTCCCTGCTGAACCCTCCCTGCTGGTGGGGCTCTTACCCTCTTTCCTCTGCTTGTCCCCAGGTTCTCTGGACTGCTGCACGGAAGTCCCAAGACCACCTCGTTGGCAGCTTCTGCTGGTAAAGGGGGTCAGGAGGGGAACCCCAAACACATTGATCCCAGGGGAAGGTCTCCCACATGGCACAGATGGGGCCACTGAGACTCCTCAAGGGGAAGGGTGTGCCCCCCAACAGCAAGTGTGGAGAGGGGAGGGAAGAGGCGGGGCCCAGCATGGAGAAACCCCCTCCCATCAGGACCTCCAGGGGCCGCAGAAAGGGGAAGGGTTCATGCCTCACCCTGCTCTCAGCCTCCACAGAGACCCTGACCCCCACCCCCGAGCGGAATGAGGGTGTCTACGCAGCCATCGCAGTGCAGGAGATGCAGGGAAACTCGGCCTCACCAGCCCAGGAATACCGTGCACTCTACGACTACACAGCGCAGGTGAGGCCGCCACGTCCCAAGCCACCTGTGCTACCTCCCCACACCTGAGAGCTCCCTGTCCCACTCAGTGCCTCACGGCCTTGTCTCTCCTGGTGGTTTCAGTTATCTCCGAGTGTCCTCTCCTGCTCAGGAGGGCACATGTGCCTGATCGTGTGTCCACACCTAGCAAAGGCGCCTGAGAGTGTGCTCAGTGTGGGCTCTGAGAACAGCCCCTGGGGCTTGGAGGGCCTCTCAGCGCATATGCTGAATGGAAACTGGCAGCAGCAGGCCTGCATTTGCTCAGCCTGCACACAGCACACACGTGGAGCACACGTGCCTGTGCCATCCACACAGGCTGGGCACTGCGTGCTTCACAGGTGCAAGGGGTGGGGTGCTGGCAGAGCCTGGGGCTGCCTGCAGGTCATAGCTTGAGGGCCAGGCTCTGCACCTTTGGGTCAGGGCCATCCTCCTGGCCATGGGTGCGGAAAACTGGCCAAAATGAGTCTTGCAATCATGCCAGGATTGATTTTCTGATGTCCACGTGGTGAGGATGCGTTAAGGCAGCCACAGGGCAGCTGTGAGAGAGGGTCCACTCTGTTCCCTGCTTGAAGGGAGGGGTGCATAGCCAGACCTCAGATCTACCTGTCCTGAGGCCAAGCACCCCCCGCCATGCGTGGCCAGGCAGGCTGGGTGTGAGTGGGCTCTGCTGACCAGGCCAAGGCTCCGGGAGGCAGGGAAGCCAGGCCAGGAGAGTGATGGGGTGCTCGGATGGCAGCGGCTAGCTGGGACTGGGGACCACAGAGGGGAGGCTGCGTGGTGAGCTTGGGCCTGAGTATGCCCTGGGCTTGAGGCATGATGAGCAGCCCTGACCCCTGAAGTGCTCCAGTCACTGTGTCTCTCCAGAGTGGGAGAGGGGAGGTGAGGCTGGGGAAAAAACCCAGGTGCGGAGGAGGCCTACGATGACAAACTGAGGGGATGGGAGGCCAGGTCTCTTGGGGCACCCTCATCCTATGTCTCCAACAGGCTGCCCCAGCAGGTATGGACACAGCTTGGCTGCCCCTGCCCACCCTGGGAGACATGCCACATTTACTGCTGGGTGGGGGAACATCAGCCAGGCCCTGCCCCACAGGCCCTTCCAGTCATGCACTTTCAATCTCTTGGCCAGAACCCAGATGAGCTGGACCTCTCTGCGGGTGACATCCTGGAGGTGATCCTAGAAGGGGAGGATGGCTGGTGGACCGTGGAGCGGAACGGGCAGCGTGGCTTCGTCCCTGGTTCCTACCTGGAGAAGCTTTGAGGAAGGGGCAGGAGCCCCCTCGGACCTGCCCTGCTGGTGGAGCCAGCAGTGCCCCACACTGTCCCAGCCTTGCTGGGGCCCAGAGCCGAGCATCCCCGAGCCCCGAGCGGCAGCCTGTCTCCCAGGGAATAAAGGAGTGCGTTCTGTTCTCCTTGGTGTGCTGGGGTCCCTTTCTCTCTTTCTCCTGCTCTATTGTCCGTGTTCAGTTCAGAGGAGGCAAAGGAACAAGGGAAGGAGCCTGGGGGCGGAGCTCTCCCCCTCAGCCAAGGCTTCAGCTGTAGTTGAAGAGGCCTGGCCCCAGTTGCTAGCAGCTACCAGACTGCCAGGGAGACACATTCATACTTGGGCAAACAGAGGCTACAGGGGTGCAGGAGGATGTGGCAAAAGGGGCTCGGAAGGGCTGTGATGGGGAGGGCAGGCTTCCTGGGGGCAGAGGATTGAGCAGGGCCACAAACGGGCAGCAGCGGCCAGGCCAGAGCAAGTGCATGGGCGCAAGTGAGATTGGGGGTACACCCAGTAATATTCTGAGGACTCAGTTTGGAAACAGGAAGCTGTTGGATGATGGATTTGTTGGAGAGGCTGTGGTGGGAGCCCAGGAAGACAGGCTTGCGGCTTATGGGTGCAATTGGGGCCTGGGGAAGCTGCTGCTGCCCGTGACACTCCCCTCAATATGGCAGCCCGAGCCAGGCAGGGCTCCAGAGCCCAGGCGGGCTGGCCCCGGGCACAGAGGGGGCTGTTCTTGACGGCCTCCAGCCTTTTCTGTTTGGATCCAGGGACATAACTTCCATCACTGGCCAAGCCCTGCTTCAACTAATAGGCTTCCTCCTTGCCTAAGGCATTGGGAGTGGGTATGGGAGAGAGGGCCCCTGGCCACTGACTGCTCCTCAGTCCTGGCAGTGGCCAAGCTGACCCACCCCACATGTGCCTGGGATCCCTGCCCCGGGACCAGGCAGGCCCAGGACTACTGTAAGGGGCGGGACGGGGGACACAGTGGTCCTTCTCCACTGGGACCACGCTGACGAGCTGCTGCAGGGCCCTGCTGCTCCCTGTAGACCATCTTTTTCTGGACTGCAAATTGCTTGGCCTCTCCTCATCCATACCCTTTGGGGACTGCTCTCTACAGACATGGCTCTGTGCCAGGCCTAGGGAGGGCCGGCTTTGCCCCCAAATCAGAGGTGAAAGCCTCAGTCTCCTGCTCCATCCAAGGAACTCTTGAAAGCCCAGAAAGTTGAAGAATGCTACAGGAAATGTCCCAGAGCACAGAGATGTCACCAAGGTTTCTGGGCAGAGTAGGCCCCAAACATGCAAAGGAGATGGGGGGACTCCCTTCTGCTCCTTCCTGCCTCTGGTAGCTCCAGCAAGGGGTGCTGCAGGGAGATGCAGAGATGGCCTGCAGAGGGCGCCAGTGGAGGGCATAGCTGGGGAAGGAGGAGGCACCGGACCACGTTTCCTGTGTGTGACAGGAGTGAGGTTGCCCCTGACATTCCCCAGGACTGAGGACTAGCTGAGACTCCGAGAGAATCTCGTGGCACCTCCTGCACAATGCCTGCCTCGCCACCCCCGGGGGATGGACGTCCTAGCCGGCTTCAACATCTCTAGTGACAGGGAGCTCTCATGCCCCGCAGAAGCCCAGGGTGGACCTGCGGCTTCCCCACTGGTCCTGGCTTTGCCAGGTTGGCAGCCAGCTGGCTTACAGAGGCCCTCCCACGTGCCCAGGTCACTGTCAGATGTCACTGTGGCAAAAATGAGGCTTTTCGCCAAGCTCTGCTCTAAGAAGAGGGCAAGGAGGGGCTGGCAGAAAGGGGCTTCAACTTTCTGGGCTCTGGCATTTAACACAAATGGCCATCTTTACACCTTCATCTTCACTTGAGCAAAAAAGTGGGTTTGGTTCAGCAAGCATGAGACCTGGTGAAGGCGGGGGAGGGAAGGTGCCCTTGGGTCACCATCTTAGGTGTCTGAGCACCTTTCACGTCTGCAGTGCAGTGAGAGGGCTGTTCCACAGCCCAAGTGTTGTTAGTGCTAGGGCCAGGCAGATGTACAATTGGGGCCTGGGGAAGTCGCTGCTGTCCGTGACACTCCCCTCAATATGGCAGCCCCAGCTGAGCAAGGCTTCAGAGCCCAGGCAGGCTGGCTTTGGGCACAGAGGGGGCTGTTCTTGCGGTCATGCAGCCCCTAGGGTGCAGATGCGGGACCCTGGAAGCAGGGCTCTGGAGCTGGGGACGGGCTAGCTGTCTGCTGGGTGTCACCTATCACTGCTTTCCACCAGAGGGTGTGTGGCAGACAGGGTGGGAAAAGGCTTTGGTTCTCTGAAAAAATACAGTGATGCCTAAATCCTTCCTGAAATGTCATTTTCCCTCCTAAAGCCATCCTTCGAGAGCTGACCAGATGTCCACTCCTGATCCATCTGAGGTTTCCCAATAGAGACATTTGGAGAAAAAAATATCATCAGGTGCTTGGTCTTACACTCTCCTGGAGGAGAGAGAAGTCTGTGGATAAAGCCTTGGCTGCAAAAATGCCTGCCTGGGCCAAAAACATTGCCCAGGACACACATCTCAAGCCGTACCAGGTCCAGCCGGGCTCCAGATGTCAGGTGGTCCGAGTAATTCAACCAGGATATTCAGATGACTTCTATGTGACCCACGCTGTACCTGATGATGGGTGCGTGGTGCTAAGATAAAGGGGCCCTCAAAGAGCCCACTCAGCCCAGGAGGGCAGACAGGCACCCTCTAAGCCGAGCTGGGAGGCAGTGAGCGGGGTGAGTGGGCCTGAGGGGCCACTGCAGGCCGTACAGCAAGGGAGGGTGGCTTGTCTGGGAAGTGGTGACTGGGCTGGAGAGCAATTCTGGGAGAACTCAGAAAGCAGAGGGATGGAATTTGGTGACTTAGGGGATGGGAGACAGGGGTGGGAAGACAGGAAAGGGAGGTGAGGAGTGACTTGAAGATGGGCTCCTCCCCCAGTGGAGGAGCTGGAGGGGGAGCAGGGTGGGAACAAAGCCTGGGCCAGGGCTGGGATAGGCAGGACAGCTACCACTGGGTCGGGTTGTGTGTGGGCAGGGAAGGGAAAGAGTAGAAAGTTAGGTATCGATATTTATTCCTTGAAGATGCCTTGTCATCTTGATTGAACATTCCATTCCCCTGCAAAGATTTTTTTAAAAACCTTTGGCCTAGATATTTATCATCATCTCTGACAGGTGCCGCAGTGTCTGTGAGCCCCAGAGGGTGACGGGTAACGAGAGTTAGATAACAGAGCCTATTCTCCAGTCGTTCCGGCGACCAGAGAATAGAACTGAAAGCAATTCTTGGGTTACAGTTTATGCCAGGGGGAGAATGCCCACAAATGAATCTGAGTCAGGTTCACTGCTCTGCAGCTTTCTCCCTTCTTCCAGCACCGGGTCACCACCTCAGCTGCTGGCAGCCTACTGCATGGACGGGTGGCCTTCCCAGCAGAGATGGTGCCAGATAAAGAGGGAGTTAGTGTGTAATTGGGTGTATAAATAACTGCAGCCTCTTCCTGACAGAGGGCCACTCACAGGCAGCATGGAGCAGGAGGGCAGGTAAGCTCTCTGAATCGGGGCATCAGGGCCTGAATCCAGGCTCACGCTTCCTTGGGCAATCTTAGGCAAGTCACAATTTCTCTGGGCCTGTTTCAGCATCAGTCAGATGGGCGCACGATTGCAATCACCTAAGGTTCAAATCAGACATGGTTAGGTGCTACTTCAAAGCAAGGGATACCACTTTTAAGGAAAAGGCCCACAAGCTCTGAATCTCGGCTACACGCAACAGCAGCTTTGAGCACGGCATAAGCACCCTTGTTCAGCATGCCCATCTCTGGGACAACTGTGGTTATAGGGAATCCTTCGCAATCATGACGAACAGAAGCAACTTACATTTGCCCAAATTGGAAGCACGCACAACCGGTGTCCAACACCTAATTCCACCCACTCTGTTACAGCCTTTCCTAGGCCAAGAAACCTCAGCATAAGGTCACGGGCTTGCCATGGTCTGGCTGAACCTGGGTGTCTGCCTGTTTCTCCATCCTGGCATTTGAGCCAGCACTAGCCCAGGATGAGGTCACATCAGCAAGTGGGCTCGCTGCCCATGATCAAACTGTGCTCAGTAGAGCCCTCGTAGAACCCAAAGGGAGGAGAAAGGAGCACTTGGAGCTCTACTTGGAGAGTTTACAGATTGCACGAGCAGTGGTTCTCAACCTGGCTGCTTGAGCCGCTTTCAAAATGCTGATGTTTGGGTCCCACCTCAGACAAATGAAAACCGAATCCCTGCAAACTGAGCTTGTGCATAAACATTTGAAACATTCTCCCTGTGATTCTGGTATGCAGCTAAAGCTGTGAAACCCCGGGCTAATAGGATCTTCAGTTGAACATTCAAAAAAGTTTGGAAAACACTTAAGGCACCATAGTGACTTATCTCAGACCACAGTGCCCACTACTTGCCAGATGCTGGAAGTAACAAAGATCAGCAAGTAGGCTGGGCACAATGGCTCACGCCTGTAATCCCAGCACTCTGGGAGTTCAAGACCAGCCTGGCCAACAGGGTGAAACCCTGTCTCTACTAAAAATACAAAAATTAGCCGGGTGTGGTGGTGTACACCTGCAGTCCCAGCTACTTGGGAGGCTGAGGCAGAACTGCTTGACCCTGGTAGGTGGAGGCTGCAGTGAACCGAGATCACGCCACTGCACTCCAGCCTGGGTGACAGAGCAAGACTCTTAGGGAAAAAAAGATCAGCAGGACTCTTTTCTACCCTATAATTTCTACATCTGTCCTACTGTCTTCTTTGGATAAACTCAGGAGAGCAGGATCTGTATATGACTCAACTTCGCCACAACTAGCAATGCAGCAGCACCATCCAAAAAGGTACTCAGGAGATAGGAGGTTTCTACCAGGTCAGTGGTACCCTCAGGAGGCCTCACAGGCACTGCAATAAAAAGCCACGTGCAACACACATGTTATTTTCAAGAACTGCAAGGATGCACCCAAAAAGCAATTGCTGTTACACACTGCCACCAACCAGCTGGGAAATAAGTCAGGAAAACCATTTCATTTGCAATAGCAACAGACATTAAAAGTCTCCTGAGTAAATTCTGTTAAGATCTGAAAGAAAAAAACCCAACAACCAGGCAAACCGGGCAGAGGA